ATTATTATTTTCTATCCTGGAGTCCAGATGTTAGGAGCTCTTATCTGTACCAGGGTGCATGCTCCGGTCTAGCCTGATGTGTAAGGTAGAATAGGAGTCATGATAGTTGGGGTGGGGGGTGGGGGTGGGAAGGAAGCATTAAAGAACTAGAGCAGTGGTTCTCAACCTTCCTTCCTAATGCCTTGATCCTTTCATACAGTTCTTCATGTTGTGGTGACCCCCAACCATAAAATTATTTTCAATGCTACTTTATTATTGTAATTTTGCTACTGTGATGAATTGGACGACCCCTGTGAAAGGTTTGTTTGATCCCCAAAGGGGATGCGACCCACAGGTTGAGAACTGCTGAACTAGAGGAATGTGTGTTTGGTGGGTGCTATACTGCACCCTAGCTGGCTCATCCCCTTCCTTGTGAACCCTTTGAGGGGATATCCAAATTGTCTGCAAATAGGCTTTGGGTTTCCAATCTGGACCCCCTTGTTCGAAATGGTATGAATGTTTGTTTTGGGTCTTCTGATGCCCGATACCTGATCCTATCGACACCTGGTGGTCACACAGGCTAGCCCACACTCACTGTTCAGAACCACACAGGCAGCAAAGAGCAAGCAAGAGGAGATGCTGTCTGTCCTACCTGTCCCCTGAGCACCTGGCGTGTCCCACATCCCCACAAGAACAGCTCTCATCAAGGTCATGCACAGTGCCCCTTTCGTCAGGACAGTGGTTGTCCTCAGTCCTGTCTCACTGGCAGCTTTCCTGGAATCCTTCCTCGGTGCTTTTTGGGTAACACTGACCCTCCTACCTCGTCAGCCAGCGCTGACGATTCTACTTCCTGTCTGTCCTCACCGGGAAGACACGCCTCCGAGCTGGGCACCAAACCCTCTCGTCACGGCCAAGCTCAGCGCACCCAGTGCGCCCTTTGCGCTGCTAGTTTCGCCACGTAGTCTGCTGGCCCCAGACAGTGATGTGCCCACCGAGCACCAGCTGTAGCTATGCCACTTTCGCCGAGTGCTGTCTGTACTTCAGGAGACAGCAGCACCATGCCCGCAGCCCGCAGCCCCCAGCCCGATACCTGGCAGCAAGCTCAGACTTCTTGGCCTCTCCACATCGCATTAACCACTAACCGCAGCTGATGCTACTTTCTACCTACGACCTTAGGTAGGTAGAGAGACACCACGAGTTTGTCCCTAAAATACTCCCAACAGGTGAAGTGCCTCTAGCCTCGCCCTCCTGAGGCACCCCTGACAGCACCGCTGGGTGGGCAGCTATTAAATGGGAATACATCCCCTGATCACATTCCTTCTTTGGCTTGGCTTTGTGCTCATGATGAAATCAGAGTTGCTTAACTGGCCCCCCTCTCACCTGTAGGCTCTGCTGCCTGGACTTGCTGGGACAGGCCATACTGCCTTGCCTTGCAGCCTCTGCGTATGCTAGTCTTAGTCTACAGCAACCTTCCCCTTCTTTGTCACGGAGCTACCACTTCCTACTTCTCGGACCCCGGCCTGTCACTGTCACTTGGCCTCACAAGGCCTTTCCAGCCCCTTGGGTTGTGCACAGCACGTATTTATTCTGTGACACTGCATCTTTCTCATCCTATCATTGTGCACTTCCTGCAATGTGGTTGGTCTCTTTCTCCTCCCTGGGCGGTACCCTTAGTAGTGCAGAGAATTTAGCACGACTACCTCCAGTGCCCAGGACAGTGCCTGACACTTCAAAGCTCCCTGTGTAACTTGGCTTCTCTTTCCGTGGGCACTTGTCTTTCCTCCTCCCCAGGGGGCCGATGGCTCAGCACTCCCCTTTTCACTTAGGTCACGAGTTCTAGGTTTCTCTGTGGGAATGCCTGTTGTTGCGATAAGACACTACAGCTCCTGCTCTGAGGCAAGCTTGGGATGGGCACACAAAGGCTTTGTGGCATCCTGACACCAGAGAAGCCATGGCAAAGCGCAGCCATTACTGCTTGGTTTCCCTGTTTACCTATCTACTGAGGGAGACAGGTAGGCTATGAATGTAATCTGAACTAAACGGTGGCTTTAATACCCTCTGAGCCCCTAGGATGAGTCATCGGCGCTGTTAGGGAACTGCGAGCCATCGCCCTGTGTGAATGGAGGCCTTGCACGGGCAGAACTCAATGGATGAGGGAGGGGTCACGCCTGATGATGCCACTAGCGGCGCAAACGGGTACTTTTCTTGTGTACAAGACGACAAATTACTGCCGTGGAGGTCTGTGTGATAACTTACGGAGATGATGTGCACAAAGCTCACAAAGGGCCTACCCCACAATAACCATTCCTTCGATGTTAACAAAACGCTCAGCATTTAAATTAGAAAAACAAAACAAACAACAGGAAAAACCCTTCATGATTCAAAGGTCACCTAAAATTTTAGAGGAAGCTTACCTCAACTTTTTTATTCAAGTCTTTACATTCTTGCACCAAACAGTCTCTGGTCCCATAGAATAAGTAGACAGCCTGTGAACAACGGCAGACATGCATTCTGAGAACAATCCGAACCCCTGCCAGCCTCCAGAAAATGACGCCACGCAGTTCCCCGAGGGGCCTGGGACTCCCGTCTCTAGGGGGACGACAGGCTGCTGATAGCAAGCAGGGGCACCGGTGGGCCACCTTTGTAAAGAATGCAACGCTGCCCCCATCCACCAATACTGACACGTTACGGATTCACGGGTTAAAACCAGGAGCCACCACAGAGGCAGTCATAGCAAATACATAACAAAACAACAATCACTTTACATTTTACACTCGACTCTCCTGTGCTGTTCCTGGCTTCAATGTCTGAGTGATGTGGTACAGCTGATGGGGTGGTGTTAACTTTCCCCCTTTATGAAGTGACAATAAGGGCCATTATTTTTGAGAGGTTCTGGGAAGTAGAAGGATCTGCCCAGTTGCATTTCCTCCCAGTTTACTGATCTAAAAAGTTGCTGTTTATAAAGAATAGATTAAAATGAGAAAATCCCAGCTTTCCCTAACACGCGGGGTTTCTTAACAGCAGGAATGCCGGTATCATATGTTGCACAGCCAGCTCTGGGTACACAAATCTCGACAGGGGGACTGGGGCTGTTGAACAGATCACCAGTGCTTCCTGCCTTAGGAACTAACCTCGTGCCTGCATCATGAGGAGCTACAGTCAATTTAAAGTCCTGTCAAAGATTTTTCTGGAAACATCTTCACCAAAAAGTTACTCTGCCTATAATCTACCTCCAACTGTTGTTGCTATTGAAGAGAAACCAAGGTGCCCTGGTTGCGCAGTGGGCTAAGCGCTGGACTGACAACCATAGGCTGGCGTCTCAAAGCCCACCACTGCCCCACTGGGAAGACGGCGGCCTGCTCTGGAAAGATCTAGGGCCTCGCAAACACTATCCAGGGCTCCCTGGAGCTGCTGTGAGTCAGAACGGACTAGAGGCACTGGGCCTGTTCCACCTGAACACCAGCGAAAGCAAAATCAGCTCTAAACTTCCCGACTCTGAATCTGAAACACTTTGGTGGTTATCAAAGGCCTTAATTAATACATGCAAGGGTTTATGTTAGCAGTCTTAGGTAAAACTGAGCTGATAAATGTTTGCATAAATCAGGTCAATCTGAATATATTTGAGAGTGCTAAGAAAAATTAAACTTTTTTTACTGTACCTTTGGTGCTAAGCAGGAAATGTTATTTTATCCAACACACCTTGTTAAGAATTCTGCTAGAAAACAGAGAGGGTGCCTTCTCCCGATGGGCATGGAAATTGAGAGCCATGAGCGCATCAGGTCCAACAGAAAAATAGTTGTTCATTGTGAACTCCTGTGAGCGAGAGCAAGGAAGAGATCACGCTGCAGTCCAACATGTGCTGTGGATTACACACGCAGACTTGCTACGTGTACGGGAGGTGGTGTGCCCCTTCCGGCCTTGACTTTTCACCCACAGCTACTGTACACCGGCCAGGGCCAGGGCCAGAGGCAAAGCCGCAAGCTGACAACGCCGTAGGGTTGACTTTGCACTCCGTTTCCCAGGCTGGACCCCGGACTCCTCACCTAGAATGGCTCAGCTCTAAGGTCCTGAGCGTTAGGCATCAAGGAAACTTGCTTCCTGCCTTCATTTTAACCAGCAGACCCTCTGCTTCCACCTGTCCAAAACCCGGGCGTCTGGTTCCTGCTATTCTGAAGCACAGCAGAGGAAAAGGGCCAGTGAATGAACCCTCCACTCCATCCCTTTCCAGCTGCTTGGCAGTCCAGAGTCCAGAAACTCTCTCTGTAGGCTACATTGTCCAGAGCAAATCTCCAGGCTTCTCATCTTCTTGGAGGTGGCCTAGGCGTTTCTAGTTTCAGGCACCCCTGTGTCCAGTCTTCAGTTACCTGTTAACTTGAATCCCTAAGCCTCTGTTGTGTTCGGCCCCCTCACCTGTCTGCACAGTACACACTCAGCACTCCAGCCCTCTTCAGTGTGCCTCCGCCACTGCTTGCCTTCTACTACCCGCAAGGCTTCGGCCTCGAGCCTGCTGCCATCATCTCATGTCCAGGTCTCTGTCCTTACAGGCTTCTCCCTTTAGGAATCCCCTCACCACTGTGTCAGAGGGCTGGGGAGGGCGCAGCACAAAGGCTTGTTTTCGGTGCTCCTCTGATGTGCTGCGTCCTGTGTGTCACTCCCTGCCTTCCTTCTTCTCCCACAACACTGTCCACCACCTTCCGTAGCCCCTCTTCCTGGGCATGTCAGCTAAGAGTGATTGCTGTCAAGGGGCAAGCCTGGTACTCTTGTCTTCTACCCTCCTTCTCTCAGGCATGCAGTCTCAGGATGGAAGCCAACATCTACAGGCCGACAAGCCACCCTGCTCGCCTCTGGTTCCAGAGTCCATTGAGACGCCTGTTACCAACTCCTTGAAGGCTCGCTTTACTCAGCCGTGGCTCTCAACCTTCCTAACGCCACGACCCTCTAACACTGTTCCTCATGACCCCCAACCGTAACACTATTGTCATTGCTACTTCTTAACTACAATTTTGCTACTGTTATGAATCAGGTGGCCCCTGTGAAAGGGTCATTCGAACTCCCAAGGGGTCTCAACCCATAGGTTGAGAACCACTGCTCTACTGCCTCAAAGTTGATAAGCCCAACATTGAACTCATCTTATCAACAACTCTGAAAACACCGTTTTTCTCATTTTGGTTACTTTATCATCTATCCAGTCATAAGAACTAGGAACGTGGTAGGGGCACCAAAAACAAGCCTCTCTTCCCCTTTAGTGTAACCACTTGCTCAATCTGGGTCAATGCTATCTCTGAGATGCCTTTGAACTTCCTCAGCAGCCTAAGGCTCTCCCTGTTGCTGCTCTAAGCTATTTTCCCTTCATCACCTGAGTACCCTTTCAAGATACAGGTGGCTCTCCGTCCTGTTGGCTCACAAGGCTGTTAGAGACTCTGCAGCTTCTCGTTGCTCTGGCTGCGGAGTCCTGTGTTCCTTTCCCTCCTCTGAATTCTGCTTCCCTTCGAAGGACCAGCGCCTCAGCAGGCATCTCTGCTGGACACCAGGAGCGCCTCGGGGCCCGACCACACAGTGTGCACAGCGAGGGCATTCAAGGACCGCTTCAAGGAAGCTATTTTACGTATGAAAGCACAACATACCTTGGGCTTTCTTAAATTGTAGTATCCTTTATTTGTTACCTGAACTTTCCATCTAAAAATTAAAAACAAACAAAAAAAGCTAAGTAACTTAAAAAACCCACAAATAAACTGTCTATGCTTTTTAGAGGCTCTCCTATTGAAATGGCATCTGAAAACAGTGGCCACACTGACGGAGGACGGCTAAGGATGCCAGAGGACACGTGGTCTCGGAGCAGTACCGCCGAGTGCGCCTTGAAAAGCAGGGCGGCGAGACATCGATGTGCTCCAGCGTGGACACGTTATCAGGGAAACAAGCTCCTGGGAAAGGGCATCAGTGACGGAGGAAGACCCTCTAGGAGATGGCTGACGATGCACTGGCTGTCACCAGGGGCTCCCACATCACAATCGGGAGGCCAGGCGTGTTTTGTGCTGGTGTATATTATTAGGTCAGCGTATTAAGTCACTAGGAGTCGGGAATATCTAATAAACGAGCATGCAAACTTTGGAATACATACCCCAAATAATGACTTGGTACCATGGCCTTTATAACTAACATAATCTTGTAAAATTTACTTTTTAACGAGACAGATTTGTTTTTAAATTAAACAGTAATCCCAGAGCTCAAGAACAACCTACTTACCGATCGAGTTTAATGCCATCTGCTTCCATTACATTTCTTAAGACTTGTGCCACAGGGATTTCCCCAGCATAGCCTGTGCCCCAACCCAATGTGTTAGACAGATCGTTGCCTGTTCCCAGAGGCAAGATTGCAACCTGTGGAATGTATTTTTCTTGTCCCTAGAATATAAAAGATGGGTTTAGAATATGATCTTTAAACACTTTGGTAAATCTATGTACTTAGGGGACACGCATAGATCTTGTAACATTTAAAGACCAAAGCAATAAAAATGCAAACATGACAACTCCTTTCTTGTTCTACTGCAGTTCTTCAGGCTGCTTCGTCATAACCGTATCGTTCTGAGCTGTGAGACATTGGCAGTGTCCTTTGCGCAACAGAAAATACTCAATTGTTCCTTGGGAAGTGCTTCTGTGAAAGGCAGTTAGTTCAAGAATGGTACCTTAATCTTCATTTCATCCACTGCATCCAGGACCCAGCCCACGGTCCCATCCCCTCCACAAACAAGCACTCGAGCTGAATAACGGGGAAGCAGAGTACACAGCTGGAGGGCTTTGATGGGGGGAGTTTTAGTCACATCAAAAACCTAGAAATGAAAGAAGGAAAACAACATGGAAGCCTGCCCTCCATCTCGGAGGATGAGCTTCCGCCGGAGGCGCACAGACAGGGCCAAATGACACCAGGGTTTCTTCCTGCTTCACGTTAGTACCAGCCCTGCGCCATGCGAGGCAGGCTCATTATGGCTCCTCCTCACATCCCCTACTCTGCACAGGAGCTAGCCCATTCTGCTGGTTGGGAAACTGAGGTGCAAAGGTCAAATAGCTCCCCCGTGATTTTCCAGACCAGCACAGAGGCAGACCCCCACTCTCTCCACGTTAGCACAGGACCTCCCCCAGCTGCTCACACCGTGTCAGCTGCCTATCACCAGGGTGCCAGATCTAAATGGTTATTAAATGACCAATACAACTTGCTGGAAAAGACGCACACAACTAGAGAAAAATTAAAGGACACTCATATTCAGAATTCTGTTAAATGATTCTATAGGAAAATAGTTTAGAAGACAAAAATGTTGTGTACAAAGGTGATGTTATTTGTAACAGTATAATCATAGAAACAATCTCAACCTCCAATGTGATAAACTGTGTAAAGTTTTGATACATCCATTAAGTATTTTTGTTGCTGAACATGTTATTATGAGGACAATGTTGCAACATGGTAAATATGCCAGTAGGCTAAACAAATGCTTGTGTAGTTATGTAAATACATAAATGCATAGCCAATGGTGCACAGGACGAAACCAAAACCACAGGTGCAGTATTTGTGTGGGCAAACACAGGTCAGTTTCCCCTTTACCCTTTCAACATTTCCTTAAGCTGTTCATGTTGAATAGTATTAAAAAGCAAGAGAGAAAAGCACAAGCAGGGTTACCCAATATTATGCCCCCCGCCCCTAAAAAAGAGAGAAAAAAAGGAAAGCACAGCGATTGCCGTTCTTATCATTGCACAATGAGCTGCTCGGCTCTTTTCGAAGTATGAGCTAGCAGCGGTAACCCGCATGTCATCAGCACTCCAAGAATGGTGTGCTTGTGGGGGGCATGGGGAGCACTTCTTCTAGGGCTTCACTAGCGGGAAGGAGAAGCCAACTTCACTACAGTCCACAGCCAATTCGTATGAGGCAGAGGTCAGACATGCTTCCCCCTCCAATCTCTCTATCCTGTCCTGACACCAACAGTCCTTCCCCTGGCACTGTACTTTTGTTGGGTTTGCTAATTCATTGCAAGGGGCACACAGAGCACACAGACAGGCTCATGGTTATGGGTTGATGAGGAAGGTTAACAGGGTCAGAAGTGCTAAGGACACAGTTCCCGGTCCGTTGTGGTTTTCCCCAGTAATGCCAGCAGGCACACCTCTCTCTGATCCTCAGCCTCCCAGCCATGTGGCGCTCGGGCCTCAGCATGGCTTAGGCAAATGTTAGCACTGATAGATGCCCCAATGCCACTCTCCTCAAACGCTAGCCTCTAGCCCCAAGTTACTCAGCTTTACTGAGTGCCAGGAAGTCCACCCCTCTGTCTCAGGCTCTCGGTGCTGCTGCCTCTGCTGATGACTCATCCTTCTTGTTGGGTCATGAGGTTGCCCTGTCCCCGATTGCAAGGCAGCTCACTTCATACCTGGCAGGACAGCAAAACTGACCAGTGCTCTCATTTGAGTCCTGCATGTTTCTACCAGTTCTTTGGTGGGAGTTACAAGTTACTATGAGGTGCAGAGGTCATAGAAGAGCCATCCCAAGTACTTCAGTAATCTCATGGCTAATGATCACAGGCAGATTTCCCATGTGTTTGCGGCTGTATGTCTTCGTTGGTGACATGTTTGTTCATGTCCTTTGCCCATTTTTTAATTGGATTGCTTGCCTTTTTGTTATCGGGTTGGCAATGTTTTCCATACATTTTAGAAAGTAGACCTATACTGGATATGTTGTAGCCAAAAATACCACCCCCTACCCTGCAGATTTTCTTTTGGCAAAAGTTCTCTGGCTGAGCGTATTTGATTTTGGGGGGTGGGGGGGGGGGAGATCCCAGTTATCTGCTGGGTCCTCTGCTGTTCCCTTTCTTATTTGTAAAAACTGAAGTACAATTTAGATATCATAAAATACACCCACTTAAAATATGCAGTCCAGTGATTTTAAGTAAGTCCACCACACACAGTTCTGAAGATCCTCCTCACCCCAGGCTGACCCATTTAGAGTTCTCAGGTCAGGCTCCCCTTTAATCCACTGTCTCTAAGCTTTGCCTTTTCTGAGCATTTCCTATAAGTGGGATCATACACCCTGTGAGCCGTTTCCAGCTTGATTCACTTTGCACATTTCTGAACTTCTACGTTGTGCATGCAGTGAGCAGCATGCTCCTGTTACTGCTGCCTTGTCCTCTGCAGTCTAACAGACAGAACACATCAGTAGCTGACGGGCAGTAACGGTTGTTTCCCCTTCTGAGAACAGTGCATGGATACTTGGAAGTGGGATTCCTGAATCACAGGATAAATTTATGGTTAAATGTTTAAGAAACTTCCCGTCTGCTTTTTAAAGCAGCTGCACTAGGATTTGGCCCCACCAGCAATACATGAGCATTCCTTTTCTCTATACGCTCAATTGCCTTAATCCTTTTATAGTAATTAGGTGATTAGTGATTAAAAATACCTACAACCCTTGTTATCAGCTCCTCATTCCCCTCCCCTCCCCACCCCCCATGAAACCTTGATAATTTAAAAATCATCATTATTTTGTCATGTCTTACACTGTCCGAGTAGAAAGCAAGTGTTTTGAGAATGATGATGGCAACAAATGTACAAAGGTGCTTGACACAATGGATGGATGAATTGTAATAAGAGTTGTACAAGCCTCCCCCCCATAAAATGATTAAAAAAAGAAAGCTGTAGGAGCCCCCAATAAAATGATTAAAATTTTTAAAAAAGGAAAAAGATTAATTAAAATACATTAAAAAAAATACCGGCAACCAATGTAATTTAGGAAAATGAAAAGCTGTAGAGAAAGGGGGGCTTTGTCTCCCATTACCTGGACTGGATTTAACAGGGTCCTAAGTTCTCCCAACAGTCCTTCTCCCAGGTTAGCTCCGCTTCGGGAGTTGGCCAGGATGATTAAGGGGGCCCACTGCTTCCCAAGCTTCGAGGCTAGCTGGGAAAAGCAAGGTTAAATGAAAAGGGATGAACGTCTCAGAGATGGTGTGCACTTGGCTGTTAAATCCAGAACAACAGTGGTGTAATATGCTGAAAGACAAGAACACTGCCGGTTCAAACAAGTTAATATAAAAACCAAGGCAGTCTAAGAAGGTAAAAGAAACTCAGGAAAAAGGAATACAGTTTCCTACTTAACATGTAATTTTCATACATAAATTTAAGAAGTCGCCTGTGCAGGCTTACGGACTCACATAAGAAGGAACTCACTCACTGATAAAGGAGCCCATGCCACCACTACATCTAATCATGAGGGGTTTCCTTCAACTGAGTTGAAAAATTGGCCTTTCAGTAACTTACATTCATTGATGTAATTTTGCTTGCTGAAACAACGAGAAACCACATGCTTTCTTCAACACAACCCTACCCTGAACCTCTGTGCACAAACATCTGAAGCATTTTGCCTTTTCTCATCGTCTCCTAGGTTACACGTTTCAAGTTCTTTCAACTGTTCACAGACTAGAGATTGATGGGAGCTGATCTTAGCTGCCCTTATAGGAATGTACCCTAGCGTGTAAGGAACCCTCACATTTAATAGTGTGGAATTTAAACATATCTAAGGACTCCTTACACACTTATAATTTAAACTCCCTGTTTCTTTGGCAGGATCATCAGAACGTTCACAAGGTGCAAACATCTTCGTTTTAAAATAAATGTTAAACAATTCTGACACATCTATGTAGTAAATAAATAATAAGTAGTAAACAGCCGTTAGCTTTTCCTGATCATCCCGTAAGAGCTACACAAAGACTGAGAAAGACTCTTGCCTCCCTTCTCACACTGCAAACCCCCCGCCCGCCCTGCTGTGGGACGCCCTCTGTGGGCGGGCCAAGTAGGTGACGTTAATTCACCTCTGGGCATCCTATGCAAAAGGCCACAGGAAAGAAATCCCTTCAGAGCAACAAGTGAGGCACACCTGTTTGTTTGCTTTTCCTGACAACAGTCACGCTCAGAGACGTTCCCTACCTAACCTGGCTGTTCATCAGACCCATCGGAGAAGCGTTTTAAGAAGGAGGTCTTTCTGGCACCGAGCCTATGAAACCCCATTGGGGATGGAGGTCAGCTTAGGAAGCCAGGTTCTTGAAAGCTCTCACGTGATTCGAAACCAGGAACCTCACGTTTCCATTCCCCTTTAGACACAGAAGAACTCAAGGGACACAATTTATGAGCCAACTCCTGAGTTGGTGGGGCTTTATGGGTGTTTCCCAAACTTGGCGATACCACCCTGGGGGTGGGGGGGGTGAGAGGGTGTTGGAATGCCTCAGGGGGCTGCAGAAGCAGATACCTACCTACCTGTAATCCTGGATGATGGGCTACAGTACTAAAGCTTTTCATGGCCAGGGAGGCACCGAGTAATTTTTTTCCCCCTGAAAAGGGGGCATTAGGCCAATTACGTTTGGGAATCTCTGGTTTACACAGTTGGATTTTATTTTCTTCCTGGGTCCTGACTTTTTATTTCTGTTGACTTTGATCTTAGGATTGGTTCTTCTGTCTCAGTTACTTATACATATACACACTTCTTGCATGCTGACTTAAGTAATTTTTTAAGAAATCGATTATATGAGAAAAAGACATTCTAATTACCATTTCATAATCTGTTTTTTTGGCTTTGCGCATCTGATTGATGGCGGTTAGGTAGCCTGGGGGAATGATGATGTTTCTGAATTCTCCAAAATCACACTTTTCATTCTTTAAGGTGTTTTTCATGCATTCATCGTGGACTGTTCTCTGACACCAAACGCACCTGAGGGCCGGGAACAACACAGGTGGAAATGAGACTTCAGGTCGCCATCTTACTTGTCTGCAAACCCACATTTTTTTGTTAAAAAAAGAGAAAAAAGTAGTTAGTTGATCACTGTTCAGCAGGAAATCTAGCAAACGGAAGATATTTGCTTGCACGGTGAAAACTGAGCTATAAAGTTGAACACGGGACAGTTTGATCGAATGGCAGGTTTCACATTGTGTTCTGGGGGTCCTTGGGATGTCCAAGATCTCGCTCCCCTGTAAAGGGTTCACGAGCTCAAAACCCTTTAAGAGAAACACCGGGATATGATTGTGCCCCTGTCCCCTCAAAAGTGCCCACTGAGACGTCCCAGAAGCTACAGGACATGCGATGTTCCAGCAAATCACACGCAGAAGAGAAACAAGAATCTAGCTGATTTCCTTTAGGACATCGAGATGGGCAAAAACATAAATCAGTGTTGCTTTTCTTCCTACACTTTCTTTTATTTTTAGCCAAAAACCCCCCATTATGTAACAGATTTAATGTTATTTAAAAAAAGATAAAGACTTCAAAGTTTCTCAGTTTTAACTTAGACTAGGGTTTCAATAAGATATGATCCACATGAACAAAAACCTGGTCCAGCATTAGTCACTGTTTTTTGTTGAAATGGGCTTGTAAAGCCTAGCCCTTGCTGCTCAAAGGCCCCACTGGCCTGGGGCCCCTGGAGTTTCTAATGGTCTGTCTGAAAAATCATTTTCTTTATAATTGTCACGAACAGCACTCTAGTCAACCATGGAGGTAAAATAGTAAATTTCTATGAGCAGAGAAAACAGAAACAATCTGTACTTGGAAATGGCAACAGAGCCAGAAACGCATTTCCGTTCAGCATCAGTGTTCTTGCCTGGCCCACGTGTGAGGTAGAGGCGGGCTGGGCGCTGGCCTGTTAATCTCTTAGGGATGGACTCATAGGTCAGGTACAGCTGGCTGGGCAGAGAGAGCAGTCTAACAGAAGACAATGGTGACAATCACAGGATTTCCCTCACCCCGAAGAGGGGGAGAGGATACCACCCTTTCACCCCAGGTCAGCTCTGCTGCCTTTCTATTTTAAGGCCGTTGCTTTCCTGTCCGACCCTCAGATCTGGCACGTAGTTACTGCAGCAGCCTGAGGAGCCCCACTGACTGCTAAGAGAGGAGCAGCGCTCTGAGAAAACACAACTGCCAAACTGGCTTTCCAACGAAGCGGCATACATTTTGACGACTGCTCTACCACTATCTTAGGGAAAAACGGCACGCTGACTTCATGGTGGTTGTTGAGAACACACAGAGCAAAGCACACGCCAGTTCAACCTGCAGTCGGCGACACTGGCTGCTGCTTGGAGCCGTGCGGTCACTTCCCCTCTTCTCTGAGTGGTTCTACCCCATCACCAGAAAGTCCCTGCCCGCTAAGGATCCTGTCTGGTCTTTGCAGTTGCTGTAGTCGATCTGGTCCCACACCAACGGAAACCAAGCTCACTGCCACCTACCTGGTGGACTCCGACTCACAGCCACTCGATTGAAGGTGGACCGACTGGGCAGAACAGAACTGCCCCTGTGGGATCTGAGACTGTAACTGGTTATGGGAGTGGAAAGCCACATCTTTCCCCTGCAAAGCTGATGGTGGTTTCAAACTGCTGACCTTGCAGTCAGCAGCCCAACATAACCACTACGGCACACTCCTCACACATACTTCACTTACAATCTCTGATTTGGGGTTTTCTAAAAAGTTTTTATTTTGTATGATTTTCTTTATATGAAATCTATGATAGGTAAATCTAAAGACAGTAACTAGATTAATAGCTTCTAAGGGTTATGCCAGGGGAGGTTGGGGGGAAATGGGATGCTAATAATGAGTACAAGAAAGAAAAGGTTATCAAGTTGATTGTGATGATGACTACACAACTCTTTTTAATATATTTAAACCACTGACTTGTAAAGTATGTAAAAAAAACTGTTACAGAAAGAGAAATCTCTGATTTCCCTGAGAATGCGCTTGATCCATGGAGGGAGTCTTCCCCAGAGCTGAATACAATTCAGAGAAGGGACGCCTGGCCTGTGTTTCACAGGTACCAACTAGCTTTTTACACTGTTCTTCCAAAATACTTCACTCCTACAGAAGGTCAGAGCAGACGGTAACCTTGCATAAAATTATTGGTCAAAATAAACCACCAGCTCAGAACATTACAGAACATGTCCAACTTCAGGACACTGCGCTCTCTTCTCCAGAACGCTTCCCAATGTACAGAGAAAGCTCCTACCATGGGGATGGGTGGGTGTGCAGGGCTGGGAACAGCCTGCTAAGAAGGAGCTAAGCAGGAAAGGGCAATTTACCACCACAAACATTCATCACATTCACTGAGAGGGCTCAGAAATAGGAACAGAGAGGCTCATGATTTGAAAAGGCAAGAATGATACAGAAACAGCTTCTTTAACTTTAGATTAACCGTGGGGCCTCTTAGGGCACAGATGCTGCCCCCCCCGCCCCCAACCCCGCGCCCAAATTTCTGAAACCAAGGGTCTAGGGTAGAGCTAATGTTGTCAGATAAAATAGAACCTGCTCAAATCAATGTGGATCTTGCAAAAAAAACCCAAAAAACAAAAAACTTTGGTATACGTATTGTCCCAAAATTTTAGGGAATACGTTTATACTAAAAAAATGATTTATTCTTTCTCTGAAATTTAAATTTAAGTGACTGTCCTTGATTTTTACAGGCAAAATCTGGCAACTCCTGAATCTGTTATTGTTGATAGATTTCTTTTTCTTTTTTTAACGAACTTGTGTGTTCCATCTGAGTAATGTTGATGCTACTGGTATGATAAGGCATTGTCAAGAAGAAAAAAACTAGCACAGGGGGCTCATACAGGGGCCAAGGGTTTCTGGAGGACAGGAGTCTTCTGGGGTGACTAAAAGCTAGCCCTGGTGGTGCAGTGGTTTCTGAGTTGGGCTGCTAGCTGCAAGGTCAGCAGTTTGATTCCATCAGTAGCTCTGTGGGAAGAAACTGAGGCTTTCTGCTCCCGTAATGTCTTACAGCCTTGGAAACCCAAAGGGGCAGCTCTACTTGGTCCTACAGGGTCCCTATGAATTGCAATTGACTCAGTGGCTGTGGGTTTTAGAAAAAATGGCCAGGAGGGCACTTGAGACAGAGAGGGAAGCCTTGAGAAAAAGGGGCAGTGAGGTGAGGTATGAAGTTTTTGAGGATTAGTCTGGGGTCACTAGCGCATAAAGGGTGCCAAGCACCCTGTCCTGCAAGCGATGCAGTGGGGTCTAACAAAAGACAAGTGATGGGGAGCCTGGACAAGCTGTAAGCCGAGGGGCCAGGGGGCCAGCCCTGCATCTTCAGAAAGACCCCTTGGCTGGAGGCTTGGCAGCACGATGATTGTGAAGGAGTATTTAAAATACAGCGCTTTAAAAGATGTTTAAGCAAGCGTATTTACTTCTGTAAAGCCACAAAGAAAGAGGAAATACAAGTACAGCAAACCCAATTCCGGTCGTCTCTGCAACTCCTGCCAGCTCTCGAAGCCTAAAGTTCATCTTCCTTCAGAAAGCTGACAATTAGCAATACACTGAGCCCCAAAGGGTAGGCTACATTTTTAAAAGGAAAAATAAAAACATAACCACAAAATGGTGTAGTTATTTAAAATCTATTACTTTCAAGACGTATAATACGATTAAAATTAAGAGCTAGAAAAACACGTTACTGATTAAGTTTCCGTGCTAATTAAAAAAAAAAAGGGAGCTGAAAATAAAAATAATTTGCTATGTATCTAGTGCCAGTTTCCTATGCCAGGTGCCACTTCAGCTAAGGGGCCTCACTACTTCGTAGAGAGCTCAGAGGATAACCCCATGCCCATGAGCCAAGGAGGCAGTCCGACTTGAGGCTGAGGTGACACTGGTGTGGCAGTGCCTCTAGGCCTATCCTGGGATGAGAACTCCTGGGAGCCAATCCCTCTACTCCTGAGTAGCCCGGTAAGGCCTCATCGGTCTCATCAGTAGCGAGGTGCAGCAGGCAGCCCCTTCTACCACCAGTCTATCGGGTACAAAGGACCCGTCTTCAGACAGTAGATCCTAACACACTCAAGCTGCAGCGTTCACCTAAAAGCCACATAAGATACTCTTAGTTCAACCAAGGTCACTAACTACCAACACCATGTTTCTTGTCTAAGATGCTACTCGTCACCTGAAAACGCCAGCTGGCAAAAGGAAAAGTAACTTTTTGGATCTATTTCATGACAGCTTCCCCAAACCTATACTAGCAAAAGCTATTCAAAGTGCTGTCGTGGACCCACGCCTGTTTTCCTGGTACACTCCCAATACACCACCCAGACTTTACGACTCTGGGGAAAAGTCATTCCTCTGCATCCCCCAGTCTCCTGGGAAATGGAGACAAATCAATGGCAACAAATTCTCAAATGCACACACAGTGACTGCGAAGTGCACAGCCCTTAGGAGAGCTGGGGACAAAGATTGATGGGCCAGGTATTATTACCCAATCTGGTAGAGTCTAGAAGCATCCTGGGTAGGGT